GCAACCATGGTGAGTTTTGCCGTCCAACAACCTCTTTTTCTTTCCCTTGTTTTCTCATCTAAATCCAGCTGGCCAAATCCCTCTTTCTCCCAATTCCGTTGACGGTCATGGTGAGTTTTCCCATTTAGGTGGTTCTGATTCTAAGATTTTAGGAGGTTCTGGGTTGTAATCAGATTCTGGGTGGTTCTGCACTCCCTCACGATGCAAGCTTGTGGTGGTGGGTAGAGGGGTTTTGGGAAGACAAGAGGCAATGACATAGTCCTAGCTAATACCAAGGTTTCAATCGGGACTAGCTAGTGACACTTAGCAAAGTCTGGAGTCAAGGCGAGTCTGATCTTGTGTTATTTAAGTTAGTCCCTTGGTACGCCAAACATAGGACTATATGGATTGTTAGTCCAGTCCTGTCCCGTGAATGCTAACGATGTCAAACAAACACCCCCCTAATTTATTAATTATTACACAATTTGGCATTGAATCTAAACTTGTAACATAAATAGGAAAATAACTTTCCTTCAACGAAATGTTATTTGACGTTACCTAGTTTCTTAATTAGTAACGCACAACTATGTTAGAAAAAATTAAAATGCATGTCAATGTATGATTGACTTTGATATAAAACTTTCTTGCAACACTTTGATATAGCAAGTCGAGCCCAATAATACATAGTTATATAAAATATTAAAATGCATAACATTGCATAATATGGCTAGTTTTTTTTCTTTTTCTAAATCACTAAACTAGACTAAAAAACAAAAAACTAAACTTAAACTACTCAAAATAAGCTAAAATGACTCAAAACACACAAATTAAGTTAAATTGACTCAAAACAAAAACTAAATGGAAGTTTGGACGAAAATTAAACTAAAAAGACTCATAATACTAAATGGGGGGTTGTTTTGACGAATTTAAGATTTAAACAAACAAACAAACTTGCAGAAACAAACTAAAGGGTACGAAATTGGGTGAAATAAGGGGGTGAAAGGCTAGCTAGAGGGTCATTCTCCACACATGACACATATGCATACAAATCGATTTCCAGTTATTCTTCCCATAAACCATGAATGACAATGCCCCAAGTTAACCATGAACTGCACAAATTAACCATCGGATTTTCCTAAATTCATTGAATTGGACTCAATGACGCAACCAAATTATCCTTATCAAGTTCCCTACATGAACTGCATAATAGAGATACATATCAAAGATCATTAAGTTATATGAAAATCATAAGCATTGACAAGACATTCATAACTATGAAATGCATGATACTCCTGCCAATAATTTACTTAACGCGATCTTGACTAGCAACCTCCACTGCTTCAAAATATAAGTTCATAACTATTAGGTGAAATTCCCTTATATTTTAGCATCAAATCCCTGCATGCAAACTAAGTATGCATCCTCAATCAACACACAATAATAAGTTATCAATCAAACAGATAAGTAAATTGCATTCACGATTTATGAAAGCAACAACTGGACGTAATCAATTCATATCACACATATGTTCATGGCTTTGAATTCTTCTCTAGCTAAAACGAATTTAGTTCCACATGTTTGCAATTAAACAAAGACAATTGAAATTAAACATTGAAAACAAAACATAGAATACACCTAGAAACACTCCAACAATCCAAAGGTCTTGAATGGCAGGCACGGCTCCAAGCTTCTTCTTCCCCTTCCTTGCAAAGCTGTGGCACAAGTATGTTTTTCTGAATTTAGGCTATTGTGTGTGTGGTGCTCTGAATGGTGCGGCATTAGTGTTTATATAGGGCTAGGGCACGACACAAAGGTTGTAGAAGATAAGGATTTGCATGGCAGATTCCTAGGGGGAAAGGGATAGGGTAGTTCGGCACAAATCTTCTAGAACCAGAAAACAAGTGGTTTAATATGAAAATGAATCCCCCTTGTAGCTGGAAATAAGGATAAGATTAGGATATGATAGGATAAGATAAGGTTAGTTTGGATAATGTTGGATAAAATTTTGGATAATGTTCCTTCCTTTTAGCTGCTTCCTTATCTTTCAAGTCTTGATTTAATTCTTCTAGATTTGTAGCACATTTTTAGCCTCTTTAAACTTCAAAAATGTCCATCCATTTTGCTCCATACGCACGTTATCCATTCCAAGTCCAAAATTGCTCTAAAATGCTCCAAATTGCCTTTTCTTGCCACTTTTGCCATTTGGACCTACAAACACATGAAAATAGCTTAAATCACTATAATAAACAGAAACTAACTCACTAAATGCAAAGAAACAAGCTAACAAAGTCGCATAAATATGCTCCTATCACAGCCCAAGCCAATTGCCATACCTATGGGGTGGGCCCAACTCAAATGAAGTGAGCAATTAGGTGAAAATGGTTTAAGGCGATTTGACGTTAGCCACATTGTAATTTTTTTTGGGTCAGACTCGTGACCTATACGCACAAATGAGAAGAGTGAGCAACCAAAAGGTGTCAGTTGGGACCCACGCTCAAGCACACTTTGTTATTTTCAAATGTGGGCAGTTGAATTTCTTAAATCCATTTAATGAGTGGACAATGGTAACATTAAGAGCTCAAGACTTTTAGAGTTCACTAAGGCCTATATATAAATGCCTCACAAGTGATCAGACCTTGGAGAGTGAAATTAAACCACTTTGTTAGAGAGTGGTAATCCATATTATATATAGAGCCTTTAAAGCAACTCCACCGTGTGGAGTAGCATGAGGGATAGGCCTCAAAACAAAGGGCAGTAGCCCCGCCTACTTGCTCCAGTGTGTGCCAGCCTTAGGGAGAAGCCTGACACGAATTGCCAGCCCGAGAGCCCGAAGGCTTCTTGACGTAAAGTTGACGTCGCCCAAACGTTAGCCACATTTTTTATTTTTTTCTGTCAGGTGCGTGGCCTTCAAGTGCACGTATGCACGCATCGTCCGACAAGATTTCAAAAAAAGGGGCCCACGGCCCACTGAGAAATGTTACCGTTGGGAAGCCACGTGGCTTCTCCTCGTCCGTTGGATTTTAACGGCAACAATTTTAGGACCGTTGGATTTCCAACGGTAAAAAAAATAAATAAAACATTATTTAATATCAGTCATTGGATCTGAGATCAACTGTCCACGTTATTTGTCTTTATAATTAAAAAAACAATTTAAAATTGTGAAATGTTACTGTTGTGCCACGTGGCACAATCTGGAGTGTTAATATCAGTCACTTCCGGCTCTGTCAACTCAAAATTTTCACCTCAATTGCTGGGGGCATGCTCCAAAAACATGCCAGTCAAGCCGAGTGAAGTTGAAGGATGGACTTATGTCACTCCGAAGAAATTGCACAAGAAGCATATGTCTTCTCCACAAGCTCACCAATGGGAAAGGGGGCAAAACAGCTCCTGTTCACCTCTAGAACAATGTGAAAGTGTTGGAGATAATGAAACTTTGACACGAAGTTCATCCATCCCCATCACGATGCGTGACATCTTCCCAGAAGACTTCTTCAACTACTCAGTCAAGGCTCCTTGCTATGAAGATTGCGAGGAACGACTCTCTCAGATCGCTTGACAAACCAAATGCTCCTTGTTCGCATGAGCCTAAAACTGCATGAACCAAAGCTCCTTGTCTGCAAGAGCCTAAACTGCAAGACACAAGGCTCCTCGCCTGCACGAGCCTAAACTGCACGAACCAACGCTCATGGTCTGCACGAGTATAAAAGGCAACACCAACGCTCCTTGCCTGCACGAGCTAAAACGGCAACACGGCACCAAATGCTTCTTGTCTGCACGAGTTGAAACTGCAAACGACACCAACACTCCTTGCCTGCATGAGCTGAAACTGCAAACGGCACAAAAAAAGAAAATCCAAAAAAAATATGTATTTGAACTACGTTACGACTTGATCTCTTCTTTGGAGGGGTACGTAGGCAACTTGAATATTCAAAATTTCGAGTTCAGTCACATCAAAATGAAAATAAATGTTTTATTAAAGAAAGTCAATTTTATCAAGAAAAAAAAAATACATATGTTATTATGTATTTACAAAAAAAAAAACAAACACAAAACAAAAGAAAAGAAAAGAAAAAGAAATAATATATGTATGAGTGTCTCGGCCCAGCAGCAACAAAAGGCTCAAGCCACAAGCCATAAGCCCAATCCGCGGTCAAGTCCAATGCCTGCTCAGACTTCAGTTACAAATCAGGCATATTTCTCATTTCTTGCAACATTTCTCAAAGCAGCCCATCCAAAATGAAGCCCAAGTGCCGCCGTAACGGTGGATACTACCATGACAGCCCATGAAGTTGAGGCCCATATCCATCTAGTCAGTGCAGGCTCTCCCGCTGATGTCGACAGGGTCAAATTCGAAGGAAGGATAATCAAATCTATCATTTAATCCTCCACTGCTCTACAAGTAGCGGTTGTGGTCCCCTGACGCATACCGTGACGAGGCATGGCACCGCCGCAAGAAAATCAACGGCAGATCGAACCTCCAGCGGAGCAAAAGCGTCACTGACGAAGACCTCGACGAGTTGAAAGCCTGCATCGAGCTAGGGTTCAGGTTTGACTCGCCCAAGTCGGATAAGCGACTCGCTGACACTCTTCCCGCGTTGGGACTTTACTACGCGGTTAACAAGAAGTACTGTGACTCAGTTTCTAATAAGTCTACGGCGACTACAACGACCCTGACGCCGTCAGAGTGTGACTCGGTGACCTCCTCTCAACGGTAAACTTTGCATCGTTCGGAATAACATGAGCATCTCGCTGGTTGATGTTTCGAATTCCAGTGATGTTCACGGGGAAAGTGCCGAGCATCTGTGGGAAACTATAGCAGGTAAAGGGCAGTTCAAGACCTTGGTTACGAATCTGTGGTCAAGCCTTGCCGGCAGGGGCCGCCTTAAAAGTCACATAGTTCACTGCCAGGTTCTTCAAGTTTAGAAACTGTAAATCGTATCAAATTCAAAGGTTCACTCTTTTGGTACATCCACTATACCAGAATCCACATGCCCTCCGTGGAGTTCTCTGTCTACTTCAAGCTACGCTCCCCAAGTCACCATCCCCGGCCGGCAGCCACCCAGTCTCTCCCTCATCTGCGAATCCTTAGTCCGCCGCAACAGTTGCTTCGCAGCTATAAGATATTCCGTCGGCTTCGCCGGAGGACTCGACATCCGGAAATCCTCGCAAAAGCTGACGTGCTGCTTCATCGCCTCCTCCGTGCTTATCTTCCTCGACGACCTCGAGTTCTCGTCCTTGATCGCCTCAACGCAGAACCCGTAAATCCACCGGTCCTGGTGCCTCTCCTTCACCGTCGCTACGTATGCCGGCCTGCACTCCTCCGTCAAACCGCAGCAGTAGCACTTCACCTCCGACCGGGCCATGAGCATGCGCTTCTCACGTGACTGCGACGCCTGCGACGGTGACGGACAGTGCGAGTTCTGCGCCGTCGAGTTTCACCTCCGCCTCCATCGTCCTACATGAATTAGCTCATCTCGTGCCTAAATCGGCATCAAACTCCAACCGAACCTGGACTTCCTATCCCTCAGGAGTTCTGAATCCTGCATGTTTTTCAAAGACCTGCTTTTGGCCTCTCAACCAACTTCACCTGCAACGGCAGCGTCATGGTGCAGGTGGTGGTGCTACAGTGCAACATTTGGCACATTCTCCCCTCCCACACCTTCGAGCGTGCCTGCGTCCAAACCTGCAAGTCCCTGAGCTTCACGCCTGTTCTCCCGGATTTTCTGACCGCAGCGGATCCCGTCATCCTCCATGCTGCCCCCTCGACTTCGTCCTCGCCTGCTCCCTGTAAGCTTCCACCCCACGGCAGATGGACGCCCTTCATCCCATGCAGCGAACATATATATATATATATATAATATTTTCAATAAATAAATAAATAATAAAAAATAAAAAAAATGGTGCGGTATGAGTGGTGGTGAGTGTGGGCACCACTGAAAGCAAAGAAAAAAATAATAATAATAAAAAAATAATAAAAAATAAAAAAAAATAAAAAAAATAAAAAATAAAAAAAAAGGGTAATGACAGGCATCATTGATTGAAGGATTGTGCCATGTATGGATATATTTGTTATATACAAGTAGTAATTTGGTGGGGTTTCAAACGCACATGGTGACAGACAACCCATATGCTGCCAGCCGCACCGACATACAAGAATAAATGAATAAATTAAAATTAAAAAAAAATTATATATATATATATAATAATAATAATAATAATAATAAAAAAAAATATATATATATATATATATACACATATGTATGTATGTATGTGTGTACATAATATATATATAGCAAAAAAAAAAAATTGCATAGAGAGAAATAGAAGGTCTATTTTATTTATTTTTCTGGAAATTTTACATAAATTTGTTATTATACATAAAAAAAAAAAAAAAAAAACATCAAATCAAATTTACAAGAGGGGATATTCAAGGACGATCAGGTGGCGCCTCACAACTCGGCAGAGCTCCAGGAAGAGAAGGCGTCAGAGGTTGGCTGTTTGAAGCCTCAGCAGTCGGTACAGCCCCAGAAGACGAAGGTAAATGCTGCTGGACAAACCCACAAACCTCCGATGATCAAGTAAAATCTGACCATCAGATTCCTGCATCTGGTCAATTTTCCTCTTCATGTTTGTGGCATAGTTGTGTGCAAGCTTGTGCAACTGTTTATTCTCATGCTTGAGCCCTTTGATCTCCTGTTTGAGACTCATCACTTCAGCCGCCAACGATTCAACTTGACGGGTTCGAGCAAATAGGCGTTGGGCCATGTTGGACACAGAACCCGCACACTGCACACTAAGAGCCAGGGACTCCTTAACAGCCAACTCATCAGACCGCCTGGAAAGTAGTCTGTTATCTTTGGGAGTGACAAGGTTCCAGGCCACCACCGCAGCGGTCATATCATTCTTCATCACCGAATCCCCAACAGTAAGAGGACCAGTAGGGGATATGAAGGATGGGCGCCATATGTTATCTGGAGAAGACGGGACTACCTCTTCACCAAGGTTCAAATCAAAACGACGGTCGGAGGGTCCAGACATTTTCAAAGTGTTGAAGGAAGAAGAGGTTGGACGAATCAAGATCTTAGAAGTGCAAGAAGGGAGTTTTCACAAGTAAAATTCAAGTGTGCTTTGAAACGAACAGCGTGCCTCTATAAAAAATCAACACTCGACGGGATTTCAGAGATCGAAGAGGCGATCTCAGAATTCGAAGAGGCCATTCAAAAATCGAAGAGGCAAGCTCAGAAATCGGAGAAGCATCTTGCTTTTCCAGACGCGTCGGCACCCGTCACGCAAGCTCAGCTTTGCGAAAATCACGGGCAATTTGTCGAAGTGCCGATCCCAGATATCGAAGAGACGCCAGTCTTTTCCAGACACGTCAGCACCCATCACACGCAAACTCAGCTTTGCGGAAATCACTGGTAATTTGTCGAAGCGCCGATCCCAGTTATCGAATAAGCGCCAGTCTTTTTCAGCCGCGTCAACACCTGTCACATGCACACTCAGCTTGGCGGAAATTACGGACAGTTTGTCGAAGATTTCTGATAAAGAAGGAAGCACGTGAAGCCATATAGATCAATCACGCATTGGTTACTGACACGAGTGAAAGAGCAGTACCTCTACAGGTATTAAGGAACTCCTTATAACTGTCCACCTTCACCCTCCATAGCAGGGGAGACATACAGAACCTTTCTTCATCTCCGAGAATGCCTTCCCAACGAAGCCTCTCGAGCCACTCAGTGTTCCTTATTCCTTGGGGTACCTCAGCAAACAAATGACACCAAAGCAAAAGTACCTCATATCATCAGGGTAGAAAGCAAGAGTATCTCATATCATGTGTTCTCCCTGTCCTTTCCTTTGTCCTTGTTCTTACCTACAAAGACAATGATAAAGAAAACAATATGCCGGAACTTCCACTCAAACTCGGGTAAGGAATCGACTGCTTGGAACCCTTCCCTGATTGCCTACCTAGCACTGATCTCGAGTACTCGTCTCCCACTGCTGCTGTACTTCCAAAGACACTACCACATCTGCCTGAAGAATAGATAAGGCAAGTGAAAATGATACCTTGCAGCATGTGGAGACAATGTGCAAAAGGAACAAGCAGAGAAGAATGCGGTCTGCACAGTCAACTCAGCAGAAGGAGTCCGAGCTGAAAAACTCGAGAAGCTGCCACATCTGCCTGAAGAAACAAGCAGAGAAGAATGCAGCATGCACAGTCAACTCAGCAGAAAGAGTCTGAGATGAAAAACTCGAGAAGATGCCACATATGCTTGAGGAACAGATAAAGCAAGGGAAAATAATACATTGAAGCATGTGGAGACAAGTGAAACCAAGCACGTGCTGATTCATCCGCTACTTCGTTAAAATCAAAAGTATCTCATATCATCAGGGTGCAATCACTCTGGACGGTGGACTCGTTTTGACCTTCAAATTCTTGGGTCGACTTGCTAGGCGTTGTGAGCTGCACGTGTCGATCCATCACCCTTGAATCAAATCCTTAAAGGTCAAGTCACCAACCGGAAGAAGAGCCCATCAATCTTGAAGATCATACCGCTGACCAAACTGCTCAGGTGTGAATTAGAAAGATTGAACAAAGCAACAAGTCGTCACTTTCACCTCGTGCCTGCTTGCCATGTGTTCGAGTAACCCTTCAAGAATCAAGCCTTAACGGCCCTTGAAGAAGTTTCCAGCCAAATTCAACACCAAGCCTCGACGACCCTTGAGGAAATCACAAGTCCGATTCAAGATTAAGTGTCTACCACCCTTGAATCAAAACCTAGTTCAAGAATAAGCTGTGGAAAATCAACAATTGAAGGAATCCAGGAAATCCTTCAACCCAGTTCAAGATCAAAGCTGTGGAAGGTCAACAAGCGCAACAAAATACGTGCCAATTCACCCACTACCAAAGCCAAAGATCATCTACCACATGAAGCTCCTTGTGGTCTAATTTCAACCTTCAAGATCAAGCCTCGACGGCCCTTGAAGAAATTTCAAATAAAAGTTCAAGAACAAGCCTCAACGGCCCTTAAAGAAATTTCAAACGAAAGTTCAAGAACAAGCCTCAACGGCCCTTGAAGAAATCTCAAGCCCAATTCAAGATCAAGCCTCAACGGCCCTTGAAGAAATCTCCAGCCCAATTCAAGATTCAAGCCTCGACGGCCCTTGGATCGACATCTACAGTAAGGGACTTCAAAACGCATCTCCTACACGTGACAAGCACATGTATACGACGTGCCTTGAAGTGGGGGCCTTTGTAGACATCGAAATTTCGGTAAATAAATGTTGACCGATAAATCAAAGTGTCAACGCTCATGTATTACATAAATTTTACACGTAGCGTGTGACTCAACGAAAATTGAAATGAGTTGGAAAAGTCATCAAATAGGACACGTGTCAACACCTGGCAGAAACGACTTATTTCATCTGGGATATTATATTCAAAATTAGGCCTTGGAAAATTCTATAAATACAAGCCCATTTCATTCATTTTGGAAGACCAATTCATATTACACCTTGAAGCTCTGAAGCTCTGAAACTCCGAAGCTCTCAAGCATCCAGGTTCCCGAAGAATCAAGAAAGCCTTCTTTGTTCTTCGTTCATCGTTCTTCCAAGATCAAGCCCCGACGGCCCTTGAAGAAAGTGTTCTTCGTTCATCGTTCTTCCAAGATCAAGCCCCAACGGCCCTTTGGATCAACAATCATCCACCAATTCAAGATCAAGCCCCGACGGCCCTTGAAGAAAGTGTACTTCGTTCTTCGTTCATCGTTCTTCCAAGATCAAGCCCCGACGGCCCTTGGATCAACCATCCACCAATTCAAGATCAAGCCCCGACGGCCCTTGAAGAAAGCACCATCGTTCATCATCCGTTCATCCAAGATCAAGCCCCAACGGCCCTTTGGATCAACAACGTCGACAAATCCACACATCCAACCGTTCTTCAAAGATCAAGCCCAAAAGCCCTTGAAGATCCGTTCATCACTGTTCTTTAAGATCAAGCCCAAAAGCCCTCGCCTGCTTCCTGTAAGCTTCCACCCCACGGCAGATGGCCGCCCTTCATCCCATGCAGCGAACATATATATATATATAATATTTTAAATAAATAAATAAAATAAAAAATGGTGCGGTATGAGTGGTGGTGAGTGTGGGCACCACTGAAAGCAAAGAAAAAATAATAATAATAAAAAACAAATAATAAAAAATAATAAAAAAAAATAAAAATAAAAAATAAAAAAAAAGGGTGATGACAGGCATCATTGATTGAAGGATTGTGCCATGTATGGATATATTTGTTATATACAAGTAGTAATTTGGTGGGGTTTCAAACACACATGGTGACAGACAACCCATATGCTGCCAGCCGCAC